TGGGTAGTGAGTGAGTCAGTCAATTGGTCAGTCAGTCAAATCCTACATTGACGAATGGTTCTAATGACTAAATTCTTAATGCGATAATCTTGGAGGTATCAAATCCCATTATTATTCGATGCAATAATCTGTAACTTTATGATTGAAATGAAGTGTGCAATGCTTTGTAGCATTGCTTCATGGTTACGCGTAAGCGCATGCTTCTTGAATTCAAGATTTTATAGTGTCATGCTTAAACCAAACATATCTTTAATTACTTTAATTTTAAGTTTGCTTTTTGTTTCTCTGACTGCAGATCACTTGAATACCTAAGAGCATTTGTCTTATTTTAATTACCATTATGTGTGATGACGTAGTAACTTCGTTCATGTTTCAAGCTTTAATTTGAAAGTTATTACTGAACATTTTAATCTTGTTTTATTTGTGTTCTTATTGTTCCGGGCACTGAATATAATGGGCATACAAATATTTGTTTGTTATGTAGGTTAAATGTTTATTGTACAGCTGAATTATGTTAATGTTTTAGCGTGTATGAAGATAAATGAAAATATTTGTTTATACTGTATAAGCTGTAGAATAGGAACTACATTATGTGTTCTGTCATCAGAGATGATTGATATATCCAGATTAATTGCTGAGGAGTTTGAAAAATATCAGTTATATTTACGTTTCCTATGCAGAAGTCATGTTGATTGGGTAGGAGTGGATTGTAGGTCGTATGCATTGTTTATTTTATACTCACCTACTGTCATTATTGCAGCGATAACATTTCGCAGTGTGTACACATCATATGCAGAGATTGTTTGAAAATAGAGGAATAATTTAAGAAAGCAGTCTTCTGGGATGTGGCACCATGTAGATGTGGTGTTAACCGACGTTTCAGAGGAACGTATCGCCTCCATCTTCAGGATAGAAGGAAAAAATCTTTTACCCTGAAGATGGAGGCTATACGTTCCTCCGAAACGTCGGTTAACACCACATCTTCATGGTGCCACATCCGAGAAGACTGCTTTCTTCATAATCACCGCCGTGAAAACCTCAAATCTTACACAGAGGAACAATTGTCTTCCGTATATTGTGCACATATTTGAATTCCTTTTTATGAAAAATGAGATGACTAGGCTTGTGACCCAGATAAACAGATAACCAGATAATAATAAATATTGACACAGAAGCCGCATTTTAGTGATAGATGAACCGTACTTGTAGCATGTCGCTTCAGATCGCTGATGATTAAATGAACTACTCATGCAGGCTTTGACTCTTCCCCCCCCCTTCTTTTGAAAGACGAAAAGGCCTTACCAGTACAGAATTTATTTATGTTAGTGAAAATGGAAATCATAAGGTCAGATTTTTGAAAATCTAAAAATTGTGTTCGTTTAAAATGCGTTTTTTTCTGCAAAACACGACGGAACGTTTTAAAATTCAAAGAAGTGTGCAGTGAGACCCTCTATCCGCAAAAGTTGGCACTAACTTCGCCAACAAACGGCGGTTGCTTGGTCGATATAGTTCGCTTGCGGACGACAGGCCACGGAGTTTGTTTTTGTTCAATGCTAAATGTACACCACCTCGAAAAATCTTTGTATTTTCTTGTGCGTTCACTGCCCAGTTATGTGAATATAACTTACAAATTGAATTTGCTAGTAAAGAACTGAATTTGTATAAATATAAATAAAGAAAAAAACAGTAATCCTAGTGCTGCCAACCGGAATGGAACTTTCATCCGACTTTTATTTTGGAGATATTTAAGCAGATGGCACCAATGATCGCGCGGTGGAGGTTCCGAAATTCAGAGGACCCTGGGCAGCTGCCCACATTTATCATTGGACAATGCGGCCCTGTGTTTAGGTACAGATGCTTTCTTACAACATAGCGACACATCAGTGAGGTGCTGCGTGCAGTGATGTCATAGTATTACCCACTGTTTTGATGTGGATAATAATTAAAACATGCAAAATGAGTGTGAAATTCATTGAGGTATCTGGAGAGAATCTTTAGAGGTACGGGATTGCGTCCCGAGACCCGTGTAAGTGGGAGGTTCAGCACGTTTGTTAACACACCTCACAGCTGTTAATAACCAGTGTAATTCACTGAGTGAAGCTTAATCAAATTCATCCCATAACAGTTTGTGAGGTCAGATGTTTAAGCATGTAAATTCACTTCCCAGTTGGCTTTGTTTGTAAATGGCTACAGACAGGACGGACAGGGTTCATTTTTCGATAAGACCCCAGATTTCCCCGCGCCTCCATGTCCAGATCTGAGTTTCGTAGAGTCGCCTATCCAGTATGTGCAGGTAAAGTTGTCCCTGTGCTTAACTGAGTAAGCACTACACCGTGAAGGCGTAAGGGGGAATGGATGTATAGATCCACATTTTCTTCACGTCGGCAGTAGCTGGAGGTGAGTGGTCAGCTTCACGCCCCGGTCGCTTTACCCTAGGAAAAGAATCAGAAGTACCCATTGGCTGAGCCCCAGAGCCGGTCTGAACGACGTGGAGAAGAGAAAATTCTTGATCCTACTGGAACTCGAACTTTGACCTCTCGGTTGTTCAGCCCGTAGCAAGTCGCCATACCGACTGCGCTGTCCCGGCTCCACTATTGAGTACGAACCGGGGAATTTATCTTCAGAGTCAAAGCGGCGAGACTACGAAGCTGGCTTCTGTTGCCGACTATAGGCATACCGCCACGCAGAGTTTCCATCGAAATATCTGAAGGGAAGAAACAACTTGGAGAAGGATGCATAGATGGAGTATAATCTTAAAAACGAATTTAAATAAATAGGGCGAGAGGCTGTGTAGCATTTGATGTTCCCACAGCGGTGGCTATCCTCTGGGACCTATCGACGTATAGTCCGTTGAAAATCAAGCAAAGTATCGGAGGAACACTTTGCTCCGCTTGCCACCTGGTTTCACGCTGATTTCTTGCTTGGCTTATTCTTCGACCCTGAAGATGGAGGTCAGATGTTCCTCCGAGAGGTTGGTTGACTTTCAAGGGACTACAAATCATTGTATCAGAATCTAGAACTTTTTATATTCATCTGGTTCAGAATAATTCTCATTGTGACTGTGGTATAGTAAATCTTCTGGTTCCATAACGGCAGAAAATTTCCTGATTTGCTGAAAGAAAATTTAGCTACTGTAGAAGGTGTGTTTCATGCCATTGGTTCTTTATACGTTTTCATGGCCTGGGGCTTAGGCACAGGGGATGAATTACATTATCTGTACTCATCAGCTAACATCGTGAGTATTGAAATGAGGGTGGCTGGGAAGTGCATTGTATCAAGAAACAAAGTACAGTAAACCCAAGTTAAAATGGACTGATAAGGTGGAATATGTCCCCACTGTATCCGATGTACGTTTTAACCGAATGAAAGGGTATTCGCGGAATTACATCACAGAACACACAGGCAATACACTCAATAAACATAGACACACACACAGTGTGATTATGTAAAGGGTTCTGTATTGGCGTTTCTTTTTTTTTTTCGAATAGTTCTCTAACTACAAAACCTTTTCAGTGCCTCAACATCTCTAAAAATTTACAATTGTACACTGCAAAATTTTGTTCTTTATATCCAAAATCCTGCATATCCGTGTCCCTTATAACGGGGGTTTACAGTGATGTGACATACGCCTAATTTGTTGTGCTGTGGCATATGTCGGAATATTTTTTTGAATACGTTGGAAACACAGACGTCATCTTCAGCACGAAGTAGTGTTTTGCCATTAAATGTTAATTAAATCACCGCAGGTACTGTGATTGCAGCGAGTCTTTCAAATTAAACTTTTCCGATAATGTCGGTAATATCGAGTACAATTTTCCATCATCATTACACCTTTTATTAAAGGAAAAATACATTTTTACACGTTGTAGACTCGTTTCATGCTGATTCATTATTTAAGAGTTTGGAAAGTGTAAGAGTGGCGTAACAGTTCTATGCTGTTCGCTCATCTAGATTTTCAGTAAGTGAATGCTGTCTTTTGCTGCTGTCTTACAAGTTTCATAGACTAAACAACTGAAGCATATGTAAGATTTGAGGCTTTCACGGCGGTGACTATGAAGAAAGCAGTCTTCTGGGCTTTGGCACCGTGTATATGTGGTGTTAATCGACGTTTCGGAGGATCGTATCGCCTCCATCTTCAGGGTAGAAGGAAAAATATAAGAAATCCGCAAGCGAAGAGACCGTGAGATGGAGGCGATACGTTCCTCCGAAACGTCGGTTAACACCACATATACACGGTGTCAAATCCCAGAAGACTGCTTTCTTCAACTGAAGCATGGCCTTCCTATTACGGCGAAGAGTCAAATCTATCATAATTAAATAGGTGGATGCATATATTTGCGTGGATCTATAAAGCTAGGTTGTAGAAAGCATATGCAAGGTATGAAGTGCAAGCATATAGTCAGGTTTCTTTAATCAGCTCGAGAACCTTAAGACGTAATGAAAAGTATGCTGACCATAACTTTAAAATTTTGATTCGAAACAATATTATCTCGGAAAAATATTTAGAGATAAGCACACAAACATACGTAGTTATTAATGTAAAGTACCCATAACCGTTGTCTGATTTCAACCGAAGTTGGAATATGTCAACACATTTCGTTGGCGCTTTCCAGTAACAAGTTTCATGAAAATCCCTTGAGTGACTCTCGAGTTGTATCATGTGTACAGGCAGACGGATGTACGGAACGAGCGAATTTATTAAACTCTCCATAGGATTGCGAACGCGCCTAAAGACCCACCTTCTCTTAGTAATTACATTTCTCATGGTAATTCGTGATGTTGTATAACTAGAAATACAATAGGCGTTGAAAGATGACAGATATATAAATTTACCTGATCTTATCTAACAACAGATACCTTCAGATCAGAAGGGTCAGTGTTTTTAATGAGACATTTCTTTCTGAGTACGAAAAAAAAAAGTTAAGGGGCTTCTTGAAGTGTATGCGCGGTATAAATATACAGCTACTGTGTCTGATGCCGCGGTTTGGCTATGTTGGCAGGATGGTGGCCGGCTGACCCGATGGACTGCAGCAGGAGGATGTGTCTACTGCTACTGCTGTTGGCGCTTGGACTCTGTCTGCAGCGGGGGGCACACGCCGAACATGTGCGCGATCTGGAAGTATCGGAGGGCGCCCCTGTGGGAACCAGAGTTGGCTACATCGGTGACGGGTCTTCCAGCGACAGTGGGCCTCCATACCTTATAGTCCCCGTGCCAGGAAGTGCCGTGGATTCAGATCTGGCCATTGAGCAAACAACGGGGGAGATGAGGACTAAAGTTCCTCTTGATCGAGAAACACGGGCTTCGTATTCGCTGGTGGCGATACCGCTGAGTGGAGAGAATGTGAGAGTGGTAGTGAGAGTACTGGACGAAAACGACAATGCGCCTACATTCCCTACGCAAGTGATGGGTATAGAGTTCCCTGAAAACACTCCCCGCGATGTGAAACGAACTCTTCACCCCGCAAGGGACCTGGATCTGGGGATCTATAACACTCAGCGATATAACATTGTGTCCGGAAACGTTAATAATGCGTTCCGACTCTCGTCACACCGTGAACGTGACGGGGTTCTGTATCTGGACCTTCAGATAAATGGGTTCCTGGACAGGGAGACGACCGCCGTTTATAGTTTGTTGATTGAGGCTCTGGATGGTGGCAACCCTCCACTCAGGGGTTTCATGACCGTAAATATTACCATCCAAGACGTGAACGATAACCAGCCGATATTCAACCAGAGCCGGTACTTCGCGACAATTCCTGAGAACGCAACAGTGGGCACAAGTGTGCTGCAAGTGTTCGCAACCGACACGGACGCAGGAGAGAATGGTCAGGTCGTGTACTCTATCAACAGGCGACAGAGTGACCGTGAGGGAATGTTTCGGATCGATTCCACCACCGGACTCATCGCTGTGAATCGACCTCTAGACTTCGAGACCAAGGAGGTTCACGAGTTGGTGGTAGTGGCTCGAGACCACGGAATGCAACCACTGGAAACCACCGCGTTTGTGTCCATCCGAGTCACGGACGTGAACGACAACCAGCCCACCATCAACGTGATTTTCCTCAGCGACGATGCCACTCCAAAGATCTCTGAATCCGCTCAGCCAGGCGAGTTCGTTGCCCGTATTTCTGTGAACGATCCTGACTCCAAGACGGAGTATTCAAACGTGAACGTAACTCTGCAGGGCGGCGACGGTCGGTTCGGTCTAGCAACGCGAGATAACATCATCTATCTTGTGATCGTGTCTCTGCCCCTGGACCGCGAGCTGCAGCCCAACTACACCCTGAGTGTCATCGCAACGGATACGGGGAACCCGCCTTTACACGCTTCCCGGACGTTTCACCTACGTGTAACAGACATCAACGACAATGCCCCCGAGTTCGAGCGCATGGTGTATTATGCGAATGTACTTGAAGTGGCCGACCCTGGCACCTCGGTATTTCAGATCCACGCAGTAGACCGCGACGAAGGAAATAATTCCGCATTGGCGTACTCCATCTTGGATACCCCTGACACTCACTCGACGTGGTTTCAGATCGACCCCCGCTCAGGCCTTATCACCACTCGATCGCACATCGATTGTGAGACGGATCCAGTGCCGCAGTTGACGGTGATGGCCCGTGATAATGGCTCCCCTCCCCTCTCCTCGACGGCCACTGTGCTCGTCACCATTCACGATGTCAACGACAATGAGCCAATCTTTGACCAGAGCTTCTACAATGTCTCCGTCGCAGAGAACGAGCCCGTCGGACGCTGCATTCTCAAGGTAGGGAGTGTCTCCATTCATGTCTGTGTATAGGGTGCACTGTCATACAGATGGAGGCCAAATTTATTGGCTTGAAACAAATTGTGATTATATTAGTAGAGAGAAGCGGAGTCTCTTGGTGTCCTCTGACATAAAATTATTGTTATTATTATTTATTTGACTGCAAATGGGGTTTTACCATAGCAATAGTAGTACAAGTGACAACACAAAACACTCGAACAAAACCTGTTCGTGACATATGTCTAACTCAATGGTGGCGTAATGATTGCCCGTGGAGAACCAAAGCTTCTAGAGGGAAATTTGTCCCGCTGCTATTTTTGCCGATCACAAATCCTACATGGACTGCCCCTGATATTTGAACTACGTAGAAGTGATACGTACCCAAGAGCCATAAAATCAAGCAGAATGCGATATGTAAGCTCGTGATTAATCTGCAGTTAAGCCGATTTGTTAGTGAGAGCTACAGTAAAAATTAATGTATCATCTGTTTCTTACCTAATAAGGTAAAGTTGTTCCTGTGCGTAACTAATTAAGCACTACGCCATGAAGGAGTATGGAGTAGTGGATGTATAGATCCACATAGGCACTAGCTGGAGGTGAGTGGTCAACTTCACGTCTCGGCCGCTTTACCCCCGGGGAAATAACCCCCGGTACCCATAGGATAGGAGGTTGGGTGGACCCCAGAGTCGGTCTGGACGACATGGAGTAGAAAAAATTCTTATCCCTATTGACTCCGATCCTTCGGTTGTCCAGCCCGTAGCTAGTTGCTATACCGACTGCGCTATCGCGGCATCTATGATCAATGTAATACAAAGCTTTTAAATTGTTTTGCAAATGAAGTGAATTTGAAGTTTGGCATTGGCGTTTTCTTATTTTTCTACAGCTGAAGCATTTTTCATTGTGGTTTGATCAAGTGCACGTTCTAATGGTTATCATTAGCATGAGGCCTATTGTTACAAAATGCTGTGGAACAGAGGGTTGTGTTTTTCTTCTACATATATTCGTAAGATAATTATGTTTTGATTTCTTTTATTTGCATACTGGGGTTGACTCAGCCTCTAACAGAAATGAGTACCAGGAATATTCTTGGAATGTTCTTGGGAGTAAAGCGCGGCCGGCGCGTAAGGCTGACAACCTTGCCGCCATCTATGAACCGATTGTCTAGATAATGTGGGAACCTCAACATCTCACAACCCTATTGGCCTCCACGGCCTGTTACAGGGATACCTTTACTTTATTTTTAGTTACTGTGGCCACTGTGGGACGGCTACCCTTTAGATAACATTAGCTACACTGAGAAACATGAAACCATACTCATTAAATATAGGCATTAAAATTATTTAATAAAATATTTTGTTTTGCCTATGCAGGCGTTCTGCGGTAACATTTAGGTTTTTAATCAGATTATTGACTGAGAGCTCAGTTATCGGGGTAACCGGGATAGCGCAGTCGGTATAGCAACTAGTTACGGGCTGGACGGAGTCAGTAGGGTTAAGAATTTTCTCTACTCATTTCTTTCAGACCGTCTCTGGAGCCCAATTTGTACGGGTATCTCTTTCCCTGGGGGTAAAGCGGACGGGGCGTGAAGCTGATCACTTACCTCAAACTAGTTCCGAGGTTAAGAAAACTGGGTTCCATAAATCCACTCCCCCATACGCCTTCATGGCGTAGTGTCTAATTAGTTAAGCACAGGGACACTGTCATTATTAGAGATGTGGGCTGACACTAACTTCCAGTCGTCAGTGAAGTTAACGTTTTCTGCATGTATAAGTAAAGAAGAGAGGTAAAATCAGAGATTGTAATTTGTTGTTATGGTCCGGAATGAGTGATATGAGTCTGTAGTTTATAAGGGAAGACAGCCTTATAGACATTTACAGGTAGATGGCCACCCATCGTGCCAAAAACTGGAGGTCAGAACACCATAATGCTCCTCTTGACTGGGGAGGAGAGAAAATGGAGAAGAATATACTTTGTTGTCTACAACACGGTCCCCCCTTCTTCCTTTCTCTGTCCATTTTCCTTTAAAACATACCTGTCGACACATTGTAAAGAATACATACCAGCTAGCAACATTTGAAATTTCACCCCTCTTTTTGGTGCAGGCCGGCCTTTGATCTGCCCTTTGATCCTACTCTATTGAAACATGTCACACAGGATCCTGTATGTATTGGCCTAGGTCGGTAACATGTGTAAAATGTCTGCTAGAATAGTGTCTTTAGCCTCTCTCATAGGGATGATTGATAGGTCGCGCCATAGCTCAAGCGGTTAGTCGCTGGCTTCCCATCGCGGCGGCCCGGGTTCGATCTCGGATCTGGTAAAGTGGGATTTGTGGTGGACAAAGTGGCGCTGGGGCAGGTTTTCTCCGAGTACTTCGGTTTCCCCTGCCAATCTTCATTCCACCAATTGCTCCACAATCACCCTCACCTATCATCTGGGGCTGGTACAATAGGCCAGAAGTGTCCGCAGTACAAGGGACTTAGTCCCACCCCACTAGCAATAAAAAAATGAGGGATGATTAATTACTCTGATGCCCGTCTATATAACACTTTCCGCAGAACTCCGAACTATTAAATAAGATATTCTAAAAAGCACTTAATGTCTCTAAGAAGAAGAGGATTAGACAGTTTATACGTTTTACGAGATCCAAAGAGAACACAATATGGCAGATGCTCGGCTGTGTCAGTCTTCTTTGAATACATTGTAGTCCGAAATATTGAACCTATATGAAATATAATAATAACCTCATGAAATGCACTATTAAGTAATTTGTTATTTTAATTCACCGACGTTTTAAACTTTTGCGTTTTAGATTGTGTTGTGAACCATTTACGTACAATTTCCTATATCGTACTTCGATGACAGGATTAATGTTTTGAGAAATTATTAAAATGATTTCCTTTCCCGTTTCACGTAGAACGGCAAATATACGCATGACGTCACAAAATTTAAACTTCACCCTCTCGTGTGTCCGTACACCCAGATTCAAGGCAACAGCATGACAACACCGACCCCTTAATATTGTCACATGTATTAGGGTGTTGCGTGACTATGAGACGGGTTTTGGATTGGATTTATTGCATCTTATACATTCACAACTCGAGATTGCAGGTAATACAGCGCTATCGCTGATGTACACACTTTACAGTTCACCATTACACACGCACTAGGGTTCTCAGTCTTCACTAGTCGCATCCTGGCAACGGATTTCATAACAGTCTCACTGTCACTTCAAATCACACATGGAGTCTTCGTTTCACCGCCCAACTTCCTTCCTTGCCATTATTCTACAGCTGCCAACTCAATTGAATTCGAAGTTCGTATCCCGGCAGGCTAGTGTCACGGAACTCTACTCGACTCGACTACTGTTTGTTACTACTCCTTTCCGTCTTCTGTGTCCTTATATAATCCCTCTGCACGGACTACACAGAAAAAATTACATTTATTGTTTAGGAGGCGTGTTTACTGGTCCATTACCTAGCAATGGACGTTTCATGCGCACGCCTCGCGTAACACTATATATATATATATATTTTTTTTTTCCTTGGCNGCGAAGACAGTACATGCCTTAGACCGCTCGGCTACCGTCTCACCGTTACTCTAATTAAATCTAAATTAAACTTATATTTCACCGATTTTCTGAATCTGATCTCTAGAGACGCCCGTTGTTTTACTTTGCATGTCACATTGCTCTTTCTGTTTCTGATGTTGTGTCGATGTTGTGTCAAAGAATTCATCGAAGTACGAGGCCTGTGCAACATTTCCTAATATAGTTTTTAAAGCGGAAGTTTGTCAACCGGCCACTCAACCCCAGAGCAGGAGGACCAACTCTTGTCGGCTGTCGGCTTGTCTGTGTATTGCTCTGTAAAGGAATGAGAGACGTAGAACGCCTTCAAACGTGTCTTTCTGTACTGCAAGAGGAGCACGCTGTAGCGTAGTTGGTTGAGGCACTATGATAAAAGCCGGAAGGTCGCATGTTCAAGTTCAGATGAGGTCACCGGATTTCTTTCAATTTACCTAATCCTTCCAGCCGCACTTTAGCCCTGGGGTCGACTCAGCCTCTAACAGAAATGAGTACCAGGAATATTCTTGGAATATTCTTAGGGGTAAAGGGCGGCCGGCGCGTAGGGCTGACAACCTTGCCGTCATCTGTGAGCCGATTGTCTAGACAAAATGTGGGAACCTCAACGTCTCACAACCCTATGGGCATCCACTGCCTGTTAACAGGGATACCTTTACTTACTTTTACTACAAGTAAGAACGGAAGCACGCATGGGGCCGGTAACTCACCGTCTGTTTGGCGAAGGGTTACATTTTACCTGTTTGTTGTATAAATATGTGTATAGGCTTATCTTCTCAAAAGAGGGTTACAGGCCTATTTCAGTTATGTAATATAAACACATGAGAAAAATTCCACTACGAAAGTTGATTGCCAATAAAATATTTTAAATTGTTAATTGCCTTGATTGAGCTTATGATATTTCAATTAGCTAATATTTCTACAAATAATATTAAGATAGATCTTAAGCAAAACAGGATTTAAGAATAAGGGGTTCACTATAGCCAGTCACAGTGACCGAGCGGTCTAAAGCATGAACCGTCTTCGCTCAACTCGAACGCTGGGATCGTAGGCCTCTACCTACTCACAGAACAACACAAACAGAATAAACGCATACAAACATCCATGCCTTGAATGGGATTCGAACCCACGATCTCAGCGTCCGAGCGAGCAAGGCAGTTTATGCCTTAGAGAAGCCTGCCACTCTGATCGGCATCAGTGTTACTAGGCGTAGTCTAATACGCCAATACTTCCGTATTGGAAGTATTGCAGAAGATATAAAATATGAGCATTCCTTCTATTATAAATAGAGTTAACGGAAAGTCTTCTTGGAGGAACTGAACTGAACTGTAGAACAAAATTCTAGCATGAAGAGGGCGCGCATCCTCTGGGCAACGTCGCAGTCCCGTTGGAATCTTGTTAGTGAATGAATCTTGACAAGAGT